CATAGTTTTGGTAAATCTAAAGGAGATTGTACACTCAGATTGTATAGGATATGGCCAGCATCAGATTAAAAGATGTTGATCTGCGGTTGGTTTCTGCACACCTTTGTATTTTGCACATTATTAGAGTCCATATGTTCCAGCTATGTGTAGAGAGCCACTACAGATCAAAAACATTTAAAAATAAGTACATATTGAATTTCTTTTATATATATTTACAGCAATGTTTTGTGCAATTCCTTGCTCTGACATATCAATTGTAATATAAATGGTTTCTAGTAGATGAAATATTTGGCAAAAAAAGAATAGTGTAAACTTGAAGTTCCTCTTTATATATTAAACCTGTCATCGGACTTGGCTTTGTAGAATTGTTCAGACAGAGCAGTGCCTTAGGTAATCCAGAATAACATGTATTTTTGTATGAACACTGTAACTCTAGCAAAGACAATCTAACCCAAAAAATGCTTCTATTTTGTGTGTAACTATTACCTGTTCATTTCCTAGCTACAGCTACTATGTAAATATATGTGGACTGTTAAATAGACTTTACAAATGAAAACTAAATTCATGTCATAATAAACATATTGTTTAACTATTGTAAGGCGGCTTCTTTTACATTCAATCCAAGCAGATGTATGTGTTCAAATGTTGAGGTTTTTCTTTTACATTTTGAAAACTCAAGTAATAGAATTGCTGTCATCGCTGTCCCTTCTTTTGAAAATGATAGTGGTTTGGCTGTCATCTGCTGCAGAGTTGTTCCAGGTCACTGACCTGAAGCTTTTAGATGAGAAGATCAGAATAAGGACTTGGGACTGAGTTGATGTACCTAGTAAGTCAGAAGACAGTCAAATAACTAGACCTTTCAAGAGATGGTCAACAATGGCAGCTCCCATATTTCTCTCAGAATACATACAGTAAAGGAAGGAAGTATTTGACACCCTGCTGATATTGAATGTTTACCCACTCACAAAGAAATGATCAGTCTACAAATCGAATGGTAGGTGTATTGTAACACAGAGACAGAATAGCAACACAAAATTCAAAAGAAATGCATGTGGAACAAATGATGCACTGATTTGCATGTTCATGAGGGAAATAAGTATTTGATCCTCTATCATTCAGCAGGATGTCTAGCTACAGGTGTCTTTCATACAGGTAACAAGCTGAGATTATAAACAGTCTCTTAAAGGGAGTGCTGCTAATCTCATTTTGTTACCTGTATAAAAGGCACCTGTCCACAGGAGCAATCAGTCAGATTCCAAACTCTCCACCATGGCAAAGAGAAAAGAGCTGTCCAAGGATGTCAGGGACAAGATTGTAGACCTGCACAAGGCTGGACTGGGCTACAAATCTATCGCCAAACAGCTTGGTGAGAAGGTGACAACAGTTGGTGCAGTCATTCGCAAATGGAAGAAACACAAAACTCAGTCTCCCTAGGTCTGGTGCATCATGCAAGACCTCACCTCGTGGAGTGTCAATCATGAGAACAGTGTGGAATCATCCCAGAACTACACGTAAGAATCTTGTCGATCTCCAGGCAGCTGGGACCACAGTCACCAAGAAAACAATTGGTAACACACTACGCCGACAAGGATTGAAATCCTGCAGTGCCCGCATGGTCCCTCTGCTCAAGAAAGCACATGTCCAGGCCCATCTGAAGTTTGCCACTGAACATCTGAACGATGAGGACTGGTTGAAAGTGTTGTGGTCAGTTGAGACCAGAATCGAGCTCTTTGGCATCAACTAAACTCGCCGTGTTTGGAGGAGGAGGAATGCTGCCTATGACCCCAAGAACACCATCCCAACTGTCAATCGTGGTGGAAACATTCTGCTTTGGGGGTGTTTTTCTGCTAAGGGGACAGGACAACTGCAGCACATCAAAGGGACGATGGATGGGGCAATGTCAAATCTTGGGTGAGAACCTTCTTCCTTCAGCCAGGGCAATGAAAATAGGTCGTGGATGGATGTTCCAGCATGACAATGACCCAAAACACACGGCAAAGACAACAAAGGAGTGGCTCAAGAAGAAGCACATTAAGGTCCTGGAGTGGCCTAGCCAGTCTCCAGACCTTAATCCGATTGGCAACTCGAACTTTCAGCTCCCTCCACAGATTTTCAAACGTCAGCCACCAAACCTTAAAGACTTGGAGAGGATCTGCCAAGAGTAGTGGGCCAAAACCCCTCCTGCAATGTGTGCAAACTTGGTGGCCAACTACAGGAAACGTCTGACCACAGTACTTGGTGGCAAATCCCTTACTGGCAATTACAAAGTCCATGTTTTGTGAAGGGGATCAAATACTTATTTCTCTCATGAACATGCAAATCAGTGCATAATTTATTAGACTTGCATTTCTTTTGAGTCTTTTGTTTCTATTCTGTCTCTGTGTTACAATACACCTACCATTCGATTTTTAGACTGATCATTTCTTTGTGAGAGGGCAAACATTCAAAATCAACAGGGGATCAAATACTTATTTCCTTTACTGTTAGGATCTTCTCAAAATAGAATTGGCTTTGCACATACTGTACATGTCCAGGGTTGTCATCCTTATCTTTGCTCTGTTTTACCAAGAAGTAAAATGAAGGGTATCATGATCTGTCTGCAGGTCATATCATTTCAAATATCTGGCTGTGTGGTTCATTATTCTATTAATATCTTTGATCCATTTATTTATATATTGATTTGGTCTAAGCGTGCAGAACGTGACACCCCTCCCCCACTAATTACTCCAGCCCATTAGTGATAGGTATTTATGAACCAGAGGGTGTATTTTATATGTTAATGTTAAGTTGGCTCTGAGGAAGAGGGGATTTCCCTTTGAAACACGTCAGCCATTTTTCTAGCGTCTTCCTTCATTCAGGAATCGCACAGGACTCTGGTCCCATTGGCCAGTATTTGATATGACATGCTTGTGATTTGACTTCTGTTTTGTCCTTTAATAAATATTTTGTTGCTGAGGGTAATACGGAAGGCTGGTGCGCCCTTTTTTTTTTCTTGTTCTTAATTTGCAGCATTGTCCTGGGCTTCCAAAAGAGCTGCACAGCTTTGCCCATATTTGGTGGATCAATCTGGTCAAGGAAGGTCTGTCCAAATTTGCCTGATCTGGGTCTCTGTGTGCAGGAGGTTACTTGTGTTCTTAATGTATGGTTGATTGACTGAAGTAGGTTTCATGAATCTACATCTTAGCCTTTATAAGGTTGTACACATGCTGTTGGTTTCTGTGCAATTATTTTGTAGCACTTTTTGCTGTACATTCCCCTCATGTTAGGCCCACAGATGGCCATTTGTCCTATTACATATGCGTTCATGCAGTTCCAAGTCCTGTTTAGACTAGTGAAGACCTATTAAGGATGTGCTAGACATCCAGGACTGCATGCATTCATTTTGCATTGGAGATAGTGAAATAGAGTTGCATAATGGCCAGTTGCTGTCCTTTCCCTTGCTCATTTGATGTACTCCAGCTACAGTCATGTCTGAATGTGATAGACAAGATATGCTATGCATTCTGATGAGGCATTCCTCACACACTAGTCTCAGTTCCCAGAGTTTCATTATTGAATAAACTTCTCAGTATTTCCCATAAACAACACGACAGATTTTTTTTTAAAAACCAGATTTTATTATGTTAAAGATTTTGCTCAATGTTACATCCCGTGGCTTTTTTTAAATGTAACTATTTTACAGGTTGTTAATTGAAAATCAAATAATTTGATACATTTCATGTGTGAATTTAGGTATTTTGCTGGACTAGCACAGAAATTGGTTCTTGAACTAGCATGGAGGCAAATAAAAACTGTTAGTGATGTTGCCTTAATACCTAAAAGAACAAATCTCAAGGGTTTGATATAAAGCCCAACTCCTGGAAACTAAAAGTGCTCACACTGCAAGGGTTAACTGCTTATTTCTGTTTAGGGCACAGGTGTTAAACTGGCAGCCCTCCAGTTGTTGCCAAACTACAAGTCCCATGAGGCAGTGCAAGATTGACAGTTACCATCATGACTCTCAATAGCAGAGGTATGATGGGACTTATAGTTTGGTAACAGCTAGAGGGCTGCCAGTTTGACACACCCCTGGTTTAGCGGATGCAAAAAGCACTTTTACTTGCCTGATCTTCTGCACTTTTGGCAATGGATTGTCTGTGTCCTCATGTCCACTGCAGGGTTATGGGACTGAATTAGCCTTGATGTTGAAGGACAAGGGCAATGACCGGAACCATTCTAGCAGTGTGGAGCAGTCCATCAGGTAAGAAACATGGCTCTACCTGGTTCCCCTGGCCATAAACATGCAGGTGCAGTCACCCCCCCCCCCCCCCCCCCCCCCCCGGGAGGAATTTGTTTTCCAGGAGTTCAGCTTTAGAAAAAAAATTGGAGCACATTACCACCTAGTAGTAAAGCTTGGTAATGCTGCAACACAGAAAGCAAACCTGTCACAAAGCATGGAGGCTGCCATTACTGAACGCTTCTGAAAGCACTAGTTCCCTGGCTCTCACAGTAACCACCTTTTAGGCTTCCAATTCTTGGATTACATACCAAGGACAGGATACAGATTAAAATGTTTCTAGACCCTGCATTCACTATATCTGGTCTCCCACAGAACATGGAAGTGCAATTATGTTTGTAAATATAAGCTGCTTGCGCTTTACCTAACCTAACAAAGTTTCATAATTTTCAGTTCAAATCTTAGTCATTTGCAAGTAGCTGCTTACACAGGCAGCAAGGTGAAGTGCATGCACTGAATATATTAAACTATTACATTTCCCATGCATTTAAGCCATGCAAATATTCTCAATGTAAAATCATGTCTACACCTCTATTTTATTTTTAAATCAAGTTGAATAGATATTAACATGCAGAAAGATTCATTATATGATTGTTTAGCAGTGATCATTCACTATAGAGATCATACATAATTAAATGCAGTTTGCAATCTGGCATGCACTCAGTATTGCTGCTAAACAGTAATCATGCCATAGTAAACGTTTTTTCTGCGTCGATGTGCTGCTTTAGAGTTTCTTGGCACAGTCAGTGCAGTAAATCTGCTCATTCTGGCGTACAAAACGCTTGTTAGCCAGGTTCAGAGAGCACTTCTTGCAGGTGAAACAGTATTCATGCCAAGAATGGCCTTCATAATTCACAACATTGGATCCTTTTCCAAAACCTGTAGGGAAGAGAGTATATTAACAAAATGAAACTTTAGCAACCCAGGAACATTATCAGTAGAAAAAGGGTCTTGGTGCCAACTCTGCTTTTGGAAGAATGGTGACATAAAAGGATGTTATGCATGTGCTTTGAGGCCCCTTCCACACATTTGTGGGACATTGCATTAAGGTACCAGAATGAGCTCCCAATGGACCTAAAATAGAAATGCAATATTTTATCACCACATGGTTCACATCTGTGCTTTGAGGTGCCATGTAAATTGATGGCACATTATGTTCACTTTTTTTGGGCCATGAATAAATGTGGAGATAGTCTTAAGCTATACAATAGGGCAAGCATTAGGGGCAGGTCTGAAAGGGGTTTTGGTTTGATTTCTTCAATAGAAGATTAGCTCATGAAGTATGACATAAAAAAAAAAAAAAGTCTGTCCCTTGTCAATTTTATTTATTTTGCCCCATACTTTTAGGTCTCTCCCATTTCCTTTTGTGACTACATGCGGTTTGTCCTAGTAATCACATTATTTGTACACGTGGAAGCAGCCCCAAAGCATCAACAAAAACTATTTAGAACACAATTTGAGGCAGTTTCAGCAGCGTTTGCACTAACAGCCTGAAGAGGTTAAACCTAAAAATGTAGATTGTGTAAATATGTGACCTCTCAGTGGGTGGGCCTCAAAGTTCTAGATCTCTCCTGCTGATCTGATAGCCAATCACTGGTCACATGACCCCAAACCTCACCTCCCAGAATCAGAAACCTCTTAAAAGGCTAGGAGGCATCCATGTAAAAATGTTAACACCAGCAATATCTGTAAATATTCTAATAGATTATGTACTGATGTAAAGAGCTTGACTCTACCCACCCTAGGCTGCTGCTTTCACCTTGGCATGTCAACCTAAAGTAAAATAGCATAGCAGCTGCTAATTCCTTGCTCTGCTGCTCATTTGATATAGGTCAGCTATTCTGCACTGGCTTAGGTTGTTGTGAGTCAGAGCGCTTATTGAGACTGAAGAGGCAGTAAATTAACAGTTTACTTTTTTTTTTTTTTTTTTTAAATAGCTAAATCTTAGCGTACAGGGTCCAGGTTGACTATTCAGAGAGCTTAGGTTATTGACTGCTATCTTTGGGTAATTGCCTAGGGGCTATGCCCAGCAAAGCTTTCATAGGGTCCAGACTTTTATAACCCTACCGCAATCTATGAGCCCTATCTTTTTGCTAGTGTCCTTAGATGATGGCTTTTTCTCCCCTATAGAGCCTTTTTTTTTTTATGCTTAACCAGCAGGAATACCCTGACTAGTAGTAATGACATAAACCAGCCACAAGGGAAATGTGGCAAAAACTGCTGAGAGAGGCAATGTTTTCTTTGTACTGGACTATTCTAACACTGGTCTCAAAATCTGATTCTATCTTATGCATGCAACAAGCAGCATAGCTGAAGGCAGATCTCCATTTCTACTGCTTCTAGAGCAGGTGCATCTACTGCTGGCGTAGTTGCAGAGAAGAATGAAGAGGACCTAGAGCCATTGTTAGAGGAGACCACATCCCATTCCTCAAACCCAGACCCCTATACACCCGACATTATGGCTTAATACAAAATGCTTGCCCTTGTAGACATGCTCACTTTCTGCCACAAAGCCTCAGCTTAGTTGCACTTGCTTCTCCTGTCTGCCTAAGCCCCGCTATGTATTAAGAGACCTACAAAGTCTGAAAAACTTTCCCCTTCATGAACAAATAGCGTGGGTGTTTTATGACTATAGTAGTATGCCTGAAAAGATTTGCACTCCCCTGGAAATCATTACACGCTATACCCAGAGGAAAAAAAAAATTACCAAAAAAGTAGACAATTCTGGTAGAGTAGACCCTTCCCTCTCAGTCTTAGATAAACATCATACTGTTCTATGGAAGATATTCCTTCATTTAACGATTCTGTAGACATAACTTGAGATGCTCTCTTAGCCAGTCGTAGGACTGAACCTTGCAAGAGCAATTTCTGTTTGTCACATGCAGCTTATTGGACTGCATTAACACTTGCAAAAAGGTGTTTTGCCCTACTTTTCTGTGTTGATGCCATAGAACAGTCAGGACCCAAATTTCCAGAATGACCAATTTCTCTCCATACACACTGGAACTTAGGACTATTAAAAAAAAAAAAAAAAAAAAAACCTAGGCAGCCAAAGCTACCTGTAAATAATGCCCCACTCACAAGCATTTTAAGGCTGTTTCTTTAGTGATGCACTTATCAAGTTTGTAAAATGGGTAACAGAAGGAAAAGTACTTCCACAACAGAGGTTTTCAGCTCCTCCTCCCCTTTTTCCATCTCTGGGAGCAGCACTTCTACCTCTAAACAAAGAGCACTCCATCACTTTCCACAGGCTTAATCTGCAAATACAAAGGTCAGCCCACCCTTTCTGCACAAGATTTGGAACACAGATTCCACCAAGTTACCCCAAAGCCCTCTTCACAATTAAGGGACACCTGTGGCAATTTACATTCCTTTGATCACATACATCCTAGACCTATGGGGTCAACTGGTGATCCCAAAAGGGTACAAAATTAATGTATCAAACTCTACCCCTCACCATTTTCTTCTCTCACACCAGCGAACATCTGTCTAAAGAAAATCAGATCTGCAAACCACCTGAACGATGGAGGACAGGTGCAAAGGAGTTTTCAAACCTGATAATGGTACCAAAACCCAGTGGGAGTATTTATCCTATTCTGGACCTAAAATCACTAAACAAGCACCTTTTGTGTTTTAAAATTTTGCATGGAATCCACAAGGTCAGTAATTACCCCTTAGACTAGGGGAATATTGGGTATTAGTAGACATTCAAGATGCCCATTTACATATTCCCATTTACCCGCCTCATCAGCACATTGAGGAAAAGGATAGGTCAAACGCCAGTGTGACAAATTGGTTTGTCTCCCACTGCAGAGTATTTACAAAATGTGTTTGCACTCCTACTTACCATTTTATGAACTCAGGTTTTCTAGATATCCTGTGATCTGAACACCCTTCTGAAGAGTTCATCTCCCAAATAACAACCTGCAAACATCCAAGTGACTATCAAGATTCTTTGTGACTTCGGCTGGGTAATCAACTATCAAAAGTCTGTTCTCCAGACTTCTCTTCAACTGGAATACTTAGAAGAAAAACCTTTGCCTAGGCTGTGTCTAGAATGAAGCCTGACAAACTTGTCTCTCTGAGCTCCCATGCTCAGATTTCAAGATCAAAATTACATCCTTCATTGAGATTTTCCATGAGGGACCTGGGCCTTATGGTGGCTTATTTCAAGACTGTTCCTTTCACTCAAGACCTCTTCACCACAACATTCTATTGGCCTGGAACACATTCCTTCTCTCAATCTTAATATGCTACTATCCAGTCAAGCAATGAACTTCCTAGCTTAGTTGACTTGCAACCCAGCCTTGGAAATGTTAAAGTAGTTTCTTCCACAATCATGGAAAGTAGTGACAACAAATGCTAGCTCCACAGACTGAGGAATGTTTCAGTTTCTCACAGTGCAAGAAACCTGGTCCCCAAGAAAGCAAAATCCCCTCTATCAAAGTTCTGGAACTCACAGCAATAAAGCTAGCTTTGTGCCACTGGACGCTCCTGCCTAAGGGACATCAGATCAGCATGCAACCAGACAATGCTACAGCAGTGGCTTATATTAACCATCAGAGGGATGCCAGAAGTCACGCAGTTTTAAAGGAAAGAAGTCTGATTCTCTCCTGGATGGAGAACCACTGTCCCGCAATCTCTGAGTATGCCAGTTTATCACTCCCAGATGGTGAACAGCAAACTTCTGGAAGACTAACCCTGGTCTTTTCCAAAGAGGCCAGACCTGCTTCTCAGTCAATGGCTTTAATAACATGGTTGTTGAAACTCAAGTGGGGAAGTAGCAGATATACCCCCTGTCCTTCAAGACCTAACTCAGAGCTAGAAAAGTCTGTTACAGTAATATTTACTACCATACCTGGAAATCATTTTTCGCCTGGTGTGCACACAGGCTTTTCCTTCAGCCCAAGAGATTTCCCTGTACCTCACATCTTGTCTCTTCTGCAATCATGAGTACTTAAGCCCAAATTTAAGTTTTAAGGGACAGGTTTCAGACTTATTCATCCACCCCCCCAACACCCTATGCTTCCTTGGGATCTCAATTTGGTTCTCTCTGCCCTACAGAAACCACTTTTTGAACCCATTAGGGACCTCCCCTTGAGTGATCTCTCCTTAAAGTGGCGGACAGCTTTTGCAGCTGATGGCTTGCAGTTCTCAATGAACTACAAGGGTATTGGTGACCATCCTCATACTTCATTGATTTTTCCTGAAGTAACTGCCTGCCCGTGTCAGAGGTACAGGCAGACATCTACAATGACTGTCTGCAGGAGCCCGACATTGCACCCATGATGGGCTGATCATGAGTGTGATCTTTACGGGTTCCTAAGAAAAAAAAACAAGAGAGTAAATGTTTTTACCTGCAAAAAAATTTTTTTTTTTTTTTTTTTTTTTTTAAGGTGAACATATCCTTTAAATGGGACTTTGCCCTTTCTTCTGTGTGCCCTGCAACACAGAGTGCCCCAAAAGACATTGCTTTCCATTATCTGAATGTAGTCAGAGCTGTCAGGCTGATAGCCGCAGCCTCCATTTGAAAAATTGATTCTCATTGTATTGCTAATATTGCTTCTAAAGCAATATCCAGCCTGTGTCCTGTACTGTATAATTTAAATAGGAATTTTGACTTGCCTGTAAATGCCATATCCTTAAGTACAGGAAAGGCCACCCTTCCCTCTGTTTCTGGGTTACTCTGCATTGCCTGCTAAAGAACTGAGGATTTAGGAAGTGGGGTGGGAGTTTTAATCTAGGGGGCATGCCCACCAAAGTTTTTGCCAATGTCCAGTCACCTGAAGGTAGCTGCCTATAGCACAGTCTATGAACATCGAGCCCATGTCCTTGCCTGTAAATTCCATATCTAGGAGTACAGCAATGTCAAATTTCCAGAAGCAATTTATACAAGGAATCGGTAGAACCAGACATCAACTCTGGTATACAATGTTATCAACTTTAAATAGGATAATAAGTACTTTTTAAATTTATGTTCAATGTCTTCTAATGCCATAAAAGGTCTAGTAAGCCCATACCCTAATAATCCAAAAAAAATGTTTGAAAATAATGAGGAAATAAAAGTTATTTATTGATAAGAATAACGTATACCTGTGATTGGGTTGTTACAACCAGAACACTTCTTCGCTACAAAGGTCTTGTAGCAGTCCACACAGTAGTAATGATCCTCAACAGCAGTGAAGCGCTGGCCAGCTAACTTCTTATGGCAGGTTTCACACACAAAGCAGTCGCCATGCCAAGGCTGGTCCTGGTAAGTTATTCCTCCAGAAGTGATTGGCTGTAAAACGTGTAACCACATTGTCACAAAATCAGTTTTTTTTTTTAATACATATTTCTTTGTGTTTGGTATAGTAATTGATATTGGTTCCCCTTTAAAGCTCGATTGAACCCATGTGATTTATTACTGAAAATGTAGTCCGGTTGCAAGTACAATATGCAGTTATTTTTACTCAACTGCTATGTATACCAGCAAGGATTAAATTGCCCTGTTCCTGCAGTACACAGGAGAGTCTGACCAAAGCTGCTCTGAAGAGAGCTTTGGTCAATGTGCTTCCACCCTCTTCCCCAAGATATTGCTCTAATCAACAGCACTCTCACTCCCGAGTTGTGTTTATTGATTGGAGCAGTTTTCAGCAGGTCATGTGGGGCCACAGCCTGTGGGTTAGATTAAGATTTAAGTGAATCTATAGTAAAGAAAAATTTCTGTTTTAAAGGAATCCTGCAGTGAAATAAATATGGGATGTCAATCTTTTGATCTGGAACATGTGTTTAAATGACAGTGAGTCAAAGACAGATTGCCTTATCTGCATACTTATTTGAGGTTAGTGACTTGGAATATATGTTACTGGTACTGCATGACAACCAGGGATTAATTATGACAGGTCAGCAATGCCAGCCTGTATATTATCTTTATTTAGCAGGATGTACTTGATTCAGACAGATTTTGTGTGTTTACTCACATGGGATAGAAGTCACTTCATTCTTCATTCCCACACTGATGTGACATCACTGGATCAATCATCAGTGCTGTCACATACCCAGAAATCTTTTATTTCTGGAAGCTTATCGGAAGGGCAGGGGATTCAAGTAAAAGCATGTGCTGTTGGGAGAGGAGGGATTTACACAAAAACCTATTGTGCTGTACTGCATGGGCAAAGGAGGGGTCTGGTTTAAGTTTTTTCATATAATGTCTAAAGTAGAAGCACTAGAGCAGTATTAGGCCTGGTTCACACTATTGCAGATGGTTGCGGGAATCGCACCTGTTCGCCCACCCGCAGCTCTTTAAAAATGTGCGGGGCTTCCATGCACCCCCACGCATCTATAAATGCAGCACCCATGCAGGAAGCATCGGGAAATTGCATGGTGCAAAAGCACCATGTAATTTCCCTGCCACTGCGTTTTAAACATGGTGCAGTAACCTTTTTCCTGCATGAAACGCAGGAATAGCATCCCATTCCAATAAATAAGTTGTCATGTCCACACAAAAACGTGACTTGCAGAGCTGCAGTAGTGTGAACCAGGCCTTAGAGTGATACATCTAAAACAAGGACGTTAAATGGCTGCTTTGTATACTTACATTTTTGCACTTTACACAATGTTTTGCAAATTTTTGTTCATGACAAGCAACACAGAAGACATCAGCTCCTTTTGGGAAGAAGCTGCCAGTCCCTATGGACTGTTTGCAGTTGCTGCATGTGAAACATTCCTCATGCCAGGCACTACCCTTGTACTCAACATTCTGGCCACCTAGGAAGGTAAAAAGGAAACTCAGTTTAGGGGGTCTTTCACAAGAACGTCATAGTTTTTTTTTTTTTTGACAGAACTTATCAAAAGGTTCAGTTTACATCTGTTTTTCATGTCACAACTTGTACTCTTATTGTGAAGACCGATGGCATTTTGTTCACATGAACCTTGAACCCAAAGACCTGATGTAGGCAACTCATATCCTCTCTATCCCAAATAAAATTGTTTTGGTAAACACTGGAAATTTGAACTACCTAATAAGGACTTTTTATATCTCTTGGGATATGATGCCAATTTTTTTTTTTTCTTCAAATTGCAGGTCCTCCTACCTGCCACGTCAGTTACAAGAGGGGCCACTCACTGGCACATTTAGTGAAGTTTAAGGCCTCATGGACACAGGACATTTTGCTGTCTCCCCTAGATGCCTTTCCTCCTGCCAGTGGTGTTTTGGCAGGGGAGAAAAAAAAAAACACAAAAAACACCTGATGCCTGTAAACACGTGCAATGCATTTAGAAGTGTCAAGCACTTGGGCATTAATACATTTAATTGCCCAAAATAATAAATTTATTTACAGGCATCAAGTGGTTTTTCTGCCAGAATGCCGCTGCTTCTGGACACGCTGGCGGTAGGGGTTTTCTTTTCCTGCCCTAAAAAACTCCTATGTGTACATGGACACATAAGGGACGATTTATTAAAACTGGAGAGTGGTTTCTATGCGAATCTGCACCAGATTTTGCAATCAACTTTCAGGTTTTTTTTTTTTTTAGTCAAAGCTTAAATTGAACAAGCCTATAGTTAGAAGCTGATTGGCTACCATGCACAGCTGCACCAGATTTAAAAAATCATCCTCACAGGCTAACCTGCAGGAGTGTTTATAGACAGTTAAACAAAAAAAAAAAAAAAAAAAAGCCAGGACACCCATAGCAGAAGTGTTAAAAATGTCCAGTGTGCGCAAGACCTAAATACTGAACAAGACAGCAGAAGTGAGAAAAGCAGAAGACCACAAATTCAGTCAGTTATAACTTTGTCCACCAAACCTCAGCTATACTACTAAGACATCCTTACCACCAGGGATCAATACTTGGCCAACATTGAACAACAGCACACATGTGGTACAAGTTGAGGAGGGTAACACTGCATTCATCAGTGAATGATTCAATAGGAAATAAGAATTTTAGCCATGCAGCAGGAAGTCCTCTAGTATGCAACTAAAATCTTTCCTTTACTGATTGGTTTGATAAGCCATGTGTGCACCAAAGCTACTAGACTCTGATCATGCTTTGGAGCAGACAATTCTCTAGAAAGTGTTATACAAGACATGCCGGTCAGAACTGTCAACCACCCTTTGTTTTAAGTAGGTGGGAGCTTTCTGTAGTCTGCACTATCAACATTTCAGCTGGGCTCTGGCTGCTTAAGACACTTTGGTTCTTTCTCATTGGAGATGAGAAAGGTGAACACCAAAGTCTATGTAAATTGTAAAGTGCAGGTCAGCAACTATAAAATCATAACTTTATCAAATAATCTCACAAATACAGATAAAGATAAGACCTGACTGATAATCAGACTCTTCCTAACTACCTAGAGATGGGAAACTAGACAGCAGTAATCAATGATTGCTCAGATGAATAGGGTGCATTGACGTTCCCCCACACGGGAGTAATAAACGGACTCAATCCCTGCCTTTTTGTTAAAAATGAGTAAATCCTTAGTGGAGGTGTTTGTACACCAAAATGTTCTTAAAAAACACCATGTGATTCTATTGCATATTTAAAATTAAATGGTTTCTGTTGTAGTAATTTTATTAATGTGTGTATTTATTGAAGAAGCTATAGGAAATCAGAGAAAGCACTGTACCTGGCTGGATTTGCTTGTGGCATCCACTGCAGCGCAGGGCATCCTCTCTGTTGGTGCATTTAGGGCACTGAATTTTATTGTCTTTGAAAACAAATTGCTCATTGGCCAGAGGATGATAACACTTGTAGCAGCGAAAGCAGGTGTCATGCCAATAACGGTTCTTGTAATGGAGCTCCTAAATTTCAAACAGAACTCATCAATATGCATTTAAAAGGCAGCTTCCTGTATTTACATACATACATGAGATATATATATAATTTTTTTTTTTTTTTTTTTTAATTTGTTTTATCCATACATGTACATACATACACATCAAGTGTTCCAATCCGCTCCATAGCCACAGGTGTAAGGAATAGAGCACCTAGGCATGCAGGCTGCTTCTACAAACATTTGTGAAAGAATGGGTCACTCTCAGGAGCTCAGTGAATTCAAGCGTGGTACTGGGATAGGTTCCCACCTGTGCAATAAGTTCATCCGTGACATTTCTTTGCTACTAAATAGTCCATGGTAAATGGTTACTGGTGTTATAACAAAGTGGTAGCAACTGGGAACAACAGCAAACGAAGTGGTAGGTCACGTAAAAATGACAGAGTGGGGTCAGCGCAAGCTGAAGCGCACAGTGTGCAGAAGTCACCAACTGTCTGCAACTGACCTCCAAACTTCACGTGACCTTCAGATTAGCACAACAACAGTGTGTAGAGAGCTTCATGGAATGGGTTTCCATGGCCGAACAGCTGCATCCAAGCCTTACATCACCAAGTACAATGCAAAGTGTCACATGCAGTGGTGTAAAGCACGCTGCCACTGGACTTAGGAGCAGTGGAGATGTGTTCTCTGGAGTGACGAATCACACTTCTCTGTCTGGCAATCCGATGGACGTGTCTGGGTTTGGCAGTTGCCAGAAGAATGGTACTTATCTGACTACATTATGCCAAGTGTACAGTTTGGTGGGGGGGATTATGGTGTAGGGTTGTTTTTCACTGATTGGGATTAGACACCTGACACCCTTCGTTCCAGTGGAGGGAACTCTTAAGGTGTCAGCATACCACAAAGTTGAGAACATTAAGTTGTTCAAAGTGTCTTGACACTTTGAACAACTTAATGTTCTCAACTTTGTGGAAACAGTTTGGGTATGGCCCCTTTATGTTCCAACAAGACTGCGCACCAGTGCACAAAGCAAGGTCCATAAAGACATGGATGAGTGAGTTTGTGCAGGCCAGTCAAGTTCCTCCACCCCGGACCTCAACCCGATAGAACACCTTTGGGATGAAACAGCAAGGTCTGCGAGCTAGGCCTTCTCGTCCTACATCAGTGCCTGACCTCACAAATGCGTTTCTGGAAGAATGGTCAAACATTCCCATAGACACACTCCTACACCTTGTGGACAGCCTTCCCAGAAGAGTTAAAGCTGATTTAACTGCAAAGGGTGAGCCAACTCAATAATGAACCCACGGACTAAGACTAGTATGCCATGAAAATTTGTGTGCGTGTAAAGGCAGGCATCCCAATACCTTTGGAAATATAGTGTGTGTATATATATATATATATCCATCCCATAGTCTTACAATATACATTTATTGTTTTCGCAATCTTTGCTATCAGACAGCAGTGCAACAGTTACAGATGGAAATGGAAATGGATAAAAGTGCCTGCATGCCCAACAATTCTGGCCACCAGGTACTAGGCTATTATGAAGTCCCTGATAAATGTAAAACTTGCTTTAACCACTTCCTTCCTAGAAGTGCATTACCAAGCAATGGTTTTATAGTTTTACATTGTTTAAACTTGCCATCTACCCTATAGCACAGGGGGTCTCCAAACTTTCTAAACAAAGGGCAGGGTTACTGTCCTTCAGACTTAAGGGATGCCAGACTATTGGGAGTAGAAAGGGTCCTGACGTCTGCAGAACAAACAATGCCACATCTTTGGTATCACTGGGAGGATTAGCGCCCCATCGTTACGGTCGTTGGACCCCGTTGGTGTCATTGGGAGGAATAGTGACCTGTCATTGGGAGTTATTATGCCCCATTGTTGGTATCGGTGGAGAAATATAGTTATTTTGCACTTCCGCTGTAGGGGGCGCACACGTGCCAGTTCTGCTGCAACTGGACACAACAGAAGCCAATCAACAGGTGCCAGCAAATGAATGAGTGCCAGCACCTGCTGTTCGGCAAGGAGAATGACAGGACACAGCTCTGCCTATGAGCAGCAATCTGCTAGATATTCTTTTCCTGCAAAGCAGGGAATAAAATCTAGCAGATTGCCTATTAAAAGCACCTTACTGTGTACATAAAACACACAGCTAAGCACACAGTTAACCCTTTGATCAACCCTCGATATTTAACCACTTCCATACCGGGCACTTTTACCCCCTTCCTGCCCAGGCCATTTTTTAGGTTTCAGCTCTCACACTTTGTGTACAGTGTTGTATGACCGCGCAATTGTCATTCAAACTAAAATTTTATCATTTTCTTCACACAACTAGAGCTTTCTTTTGGTGGTATTTAATCAACACTAGGGTTATTTTTTGCTAAATTAACAAAAAAGACCGAAAATTGTGAAAACAAAAACATGCTTTTCTTTGTTTCTGTTATGAAAGTTTGCAAATAAATAATTGTTCATAAATTTAGGCCAAGATGTATTCTGCTACATTTTTTTGGTGAAAATAACCCAAATTAGAATGTATTTAGTCTGTAGGAAAGTTATAGAGTTCACAAACTATGGCATATATCTGAAAATTGATCAATCCTGAAGTACTGACGGCCAATCTAATTTCTTGAGGTCCAAGAATGTCAGAACAGTACAGATATCCACCAAATGACCCCTTTTTGCAAAGTAGACAGTCCAACGTATTTCATAAAGGGCATGGCGAGTTTTTTTGAAGTTGTAATTTTTGTCATTTTTTGGAAAATGTAACAAATTTTCACTATTTTTCTTTTTACATACTGTCACCAGTGCAGTACAGCGTCATCATATAACTGGCATGGCGGTGATCAGGGACACTGGTGACAGTCCAAAGAAATGTTTTTACATTTTTTTATTAGTTTCAATTTTTTATTACTTTTCTCTTTTAAGATTTTTTTTTTTTCATATTTCACTATGACCAAAGTAGTATAATGTTACCATAGTAACATTGTACTACTTTGGGGAAGTGATCAGTAATTTTTTTTTTTTTTTTACACAATTTGCTTATAGCAAATAATTACCTTGCTATAAGCAAGCATTTACCTGAATGACATCGATTCATTCAGGGTTTTTTTTTTTTTTTGTGCTTAGCTGTGAGTTGGCGACGGCTAATCACATGACACAGCTGAGCTGTGATTGAACCAGCTTGTGCATGTGATCGCTGTGACCATTCACAGCTAGACACACTTGTATACAATGGATGGCATGAAAGGAAGCCATCCATTGTATACAACTGTCATGTGACCTGCTGTGATTGGTCACAGCAGGTCACATGGTAATGGAAACGGGGCCAGTACACAGATCTGCCATCGGCCGTGTCCGAAGTACATGGCCGGTGACAGATCGCGGTGTCATGGCCGGTGACAGATCGCAAGCGCACTGCACATGCCTGAAAGGACGCCATATGGCATCCACCCCGAGGGACAAGCTGTTCGCCCGGCCGCCATCTGGCTATAGGCCGGACGGCAGCTGGTTAACCCCTTCCCAGCCAGTGTCTAATACAGTGAAAGTGTATAGTTTTTTATATATATTTTTATATATATATATATATATATATATATATATATATATATATACACATACACATACACACACGCTTACTGGGATTTATTTTTTACCAAAAATATGTAGAACTAATTTTGTCCTAAAAAAAAAATTATTGGATAGGTTGTATAGCAGAGAGATAGAGGGGAAAAGATTATATACATTTTTTTTTTTTACATTTTGGTGTTTTTTCGTTTATAGCGCAAAAAAAAAAAAAAAACCCAGTGATGGTCAAATACCACCAAAAGAAAGCTCTTTTTCCCAGAAAGCCATTTGTGGGAAAAAAGGATATACATTTAATATATGTACTGCGTTGCATGACCGCGCAATTGTCAGTTAAAGTAAGGCAACGCCGTATAGTAAAAAATGGCCTGGTCATGAAGGGGGGTAAATCTTCCAGAGTTGAAGTTGAGGGGATTCCACTTTTACCAACTTGCTGTTTAACAATGTAAAACTAAGCCATTATTTGCTATTGCATAGGAGCAAATTTATGCTCATTCCTTAAATAGATAACTAGAATAGTGCATAATGGTAAAATCCTCCACAGACTTCTAGGTTAAAAACAGGAGTGCTCAACCTGTGGCCTGCTGAGCCCTCTGAAGAGGCCCACAACCTCAAACCAGGGAATCATACAGTGGGGAAAAAAAGTATTTAGTCAGCCTCCAATGGTGCAAGTTTTCCCACTTAAAAAGATGAGAGAGGCCTGTAATTGGCATCATAGGTAGACCTCAACTATGAGAGACAAAATGAGAAAAAAATCCAGACAATCACATTGGCTGATGTGGAAAAAATTTATTTGCAAATTATGGTGGAAAATAAGTATTTGGTCACCTACAAACAAGCAAGATTTCTGGCTCTCACAGACCTGTACCTTCTTCTTTAAGAGGCTCCTCTGTCCTGCACTCATTACCTGTATCAATGGCACCTGTTTGAGGTTGTGGACAGGTATATTTTATACTGATAACAAGTTCAAACAGTCACACTCCAAACTCCACTATGGTGAAGACCAAAGAGCTGTCGAAGGACACCAGAAACAAAATTGTAGACCTGCACCAGGCTGGGAAAACTGAATCTGCAATTAGCAAGCAGCTTGGTGTGAACAAATCAACTGTGGGAGCAAGAATTAGAAAATGGAAGACATACAAGACCACTGATAATCTCCCTCGCTCTGGGGCTCTACCCAAGATCTCATCCTGTGGGGTCAAAATTATCACAAGAACGGTGAGCAAAAATCCCAGGACCACACGGAGAGACCTAGTGAATGACCTGCAGAGAGCTGGGACCAACGTAACAAAGGCTACCATCAGTAACACACTACGCTGCCAGGGACTCAGATCCTGCAGTGCCAGACGTGTCCCCCTGCTTAAGCCAGTACATGTTCGGGCCCATCTGAAGTTTGCTAGAGAGCATTTAGATGATCCAGAAGAGGATTGGGAGAATGTCATA